CAACGTCTCACAACCCTATGGGCCTTCACGGCTTCTTACAGGGATAGCTTTACATTTTCTTACTTACATAGTTCTATACCAAAAAGAGGACAAATTCAATTTGCTTCTGAAGGATGTCTGTCTATGTAGGGAAATGATATTTGAAAACCAGTCTTGCCTAGTTTCGGCTGTGTGTATGTATTCATAGAATGACAGGACATATATGAAAAGAATATTTTCCCTGTATTTAGAATCGTATCTATTTGAATATATGTCAACATGTCAGAAAAAGTGCTGGATCACGAATAGTATTTATGATGAAAGTTTTGAGGTTTTTACGGCGATGACTATGAAGAAAGTCGTCTTCTGGGTTTAGGCGCCGTGTATTCTTCGTTTTGGCCGACGTTTCGGAGGCCAAAACGAAGAATACACGGCGCCTAAACCCAGAAGACGACTTTCTTCATGTATTTATGATCTTTATTATTTTCCATGATTCCCTTATGACGCGGTCAGAATTATTTACAGTTCACGGTACAACAGCTATAATTCCTCTTGTATAACTACCTACCTACCTAACTAACTAAATGGCTCCATGGAGCTGAGCCCTTCTTGAGGAGCCATCACTTGTACAGTTACTCAAACATTTCACACCGTTTTATGGAACCTGAAAGTTCATTACAATGTTCACAACAGCCCTCCACTGCTCCCTGTTCTGAGCCAGATCAATCCAGTCTATACCATATGAATTTAAGTTTCATTTTATATTTTACAAAATCTTTCACTCAGAACCTCTCGTGTCAGATGCCCGAAAAATGATATTTCACTGTTGTAAATAATCAACATTTGAAGACTTCATTAAATGACGAATATATCTGTAATACAGGGAAATATAATCGTAACATAAGTTACTAGCTTCTGTATTAAATGAAGTTGTGCACAATGACATAACACAATGATTAGTAATTCAGAGAGTTTTGCAAAACGCATCTTAATAAAACATTAAGAAGTACAACATTTTGAACATGTTCTCCAATTACTTTTCGCCATATAATTACATTCTAATTCAATTACAAATTGCTCTGTTCGACTGAAAATAAAGTTGTTAACATTTAGCGAGGCTTAACAAATGATGATTAACATTATTAACTAGATAAAGTGTTGGTATGCAAAATTAAGAATTTCAGATGACACAAATTATTCACCCTTCACGTGCGTTGCATACGTTACGCAATAAGGCAACAAGTCAAAATACTGTACAACATCTCTCTTTGTCTCCTTTTGCCACAAGTAAAACAGTTCTCTTGTAATTATATATATTATACACAATGATTGTACCAGCAATGAGTAATATAAAATTAAATTAATCATATATGGCTTATTATTAATACAACATTACAAATTAAATATTCTTCTGTGTTTTAGAGGTTACAGATAAGTGCCAAGACAGATGTTTCTTCAGAAAGAAAAGGACCTTTCTACATTTTCGCAGATATGGTATGGTTCACTAAGTATCAATCATTATTAAGAGAGAGATTATTATTATTTTTACATGAAATTTATATAATTCTATATTTAATGAGCTGGAGACAAGCACCACGATTGGTGATGCTTCATGATTACATGGAACACTTTACTACTCTGCAAATATTATATAGCTTACTGAAAAGTATGTTCATGTTTAACATAGGAGAGAGTCTGTAGAGACTAACATGAAACTAAATTATGTTGCACATTATCTTAACGCTTTACTACTGAGCAAGATGTAGTTTATTCAAGAATTTCCATAACATAACAATGGGTAACGTAAAATGAAATGAGTTTTCAAAACCCACCTACTTGAATCAACTACAATTCATTTACATATGCTATTGGTAACTCCTACTATATAGCGTGTAATGATAGAACGATTATTAACAATGGATTACGAAGAATTTGGATGGCGGTGGTCGTGACCTAATTTAAGGTACTATCCGGATGTTTGGAGATACTGAGGAAAACCAAGACTACTCTCAAAATAATTGGCGTCCCCGTTGAGATTTTAACCAAACGCCTCTCGAATTAGAAATTGTTACCGTATTTAATTTTATGAATACAATACTGTGGCGTGCCGCCACAAAGGACAGAAGACACGTCCACTGATAGGCAACGGCTGCGATAAGAATGTATACTTCAGTGGGAACGGAATACCAGCAGGGCGTTGCCTATGGAACGCTGAAACAACAATGAGTTTCCCCGGAAATGAAAGGATATTCATGGAAACGAATACTACCAGCGTTACATAGGCAACATATGACAATATTATATTTATGTACCGATTGTCACATTTTCCAGTTTGCAAGTACTGACGCTTACAAAATGGTCCTGAACTCATTAACGTCTTCAATGGGCTGGAAGGTAATATAACGGTGTGAATGGTTTAATTTTGCTATTTGAAGAGATATAAGCGGGTTAAGACTCTTGTTAGCACTTAAAATACTTCGAAGAAAGAGACATACATCAGAAATACTACTCAAACATGTTAGAACACCTGAAACACAAATCCTTTGGTGTCTTAGCCGTAACTGGAGACGAAAGAGAGTGAATGAGGTTAATTTCTCAGTGAATTATACCCGTGACGTGTAATTAATAATGACAAATAGACCAGTCACACTTGCATGAATATATATTATATATTTGTCTTTATTTGCTCCTATACACGCTACAGTACCCTCTACTATTGCTTATAAATTAATGTGAGATTAATTTTCATTTGACGAATGACTATAAAAGGAACATAAGGAACAGGTATAGCTCAGTCAGCATAGTTGACACACTAAGGGCTGGGCGACCGAGGAACTGGGGTTCAATTCCTAGCAAACAAAAGAGATTTCTTCTCTCCTCCACATCGTCCGGACCGTCCCTCAGAACAACCCATCCTCACATCCAGTGGTTGCAGAATACTATTTCCCTTGGGATAAAGCGGACGGAGTGTGAAGCTGATTATTCAAGTCCATCTAGTGGCAAGGTTCAGTATAGGTGTGCAGTTGTATCTCCACTCCTCAATATGTCTTCATGGCTTGTTGCCTAATTAAGCACAGAGATTACATTATTTTGTGTGTACCTCTGAAGGGAACAGATCCCTGGGGTAAAGCGAGGGATTAGGACATTGTGTTAGAAGTGGAACGCATCACTCACGCCTCAGTTTAATGCAAACATTATTACTATGGACAGAGATGTGTGGTTTACCCTTCCGAGTAGGTCAGTACTGTTTTAATGCATCTGACTTGCGTTCGACATCCCGCCCGTTCGCTGATGACGTTCGGCTGTTCTGACTGTAACCGTTCTGATGTTATCCTCATTTCGTAATGCTGAACGCCAGATAAAAAAGTAAAGTTGTCTCTGTGCTTAGTTAATTATTCACCACGTAATGACGACGCGTGAGGGGGTGGATGTATAACTTGGCATTCTTAACATCGGCACTAGACGGATGTGAGTGATCAGCTTCACGCTTCGAGCTGCTTTACTTCCAGCGAAATCTTCTCCAGTAATCACTGCATAAGACGTGGTGTGAAGGGGGAAACAGCTCCTCTTCCTGCTGGAATTCAGACCCGATTCTGAGGTTTTCTTCAGCCAGTAGCCTAATCGTTATACTGACTGAAATATTCCCGCTAATTTTTACAATATATTTGCATTTGTGGCAACAGTGGAAATTCAGATAGAATCTGGACCCCTCTGAACATTACACGTGTGTGGCGACCAGCGAGACAACAAAGTGGGCCTATTTGTGTAATAATAACTAGTAATTTTAAGACGTGAGTATAGACAACTACTGAAACGTCGTGAAACGTAATAAATATATATCAGACAATGGAAATATCTACCATAATCCAATGAATATAAAGAAAACTATAAATCCAGCTTAATAAATTCTATGAAATGTATGTTTACTGTCAGAAATTGAGAACGCGCTTTTATATAACGAAATAGAACAGGGTTGTCCACTAAACTATGACTAGCGCCATGCGCTTTTATTTTAAATTCGCTTAGTGGGGGGTAAAGTCCAACTGGGTCTACTCGGTACGGCGGCCATTGATTGGCCTATTGTATCTGCCCCGGGTGATTATGGTGATGGATAATTTGGTGGAATGAAGATTGGGAGGGGAAACCGAAGTACTCGGAGAAAACCCGTTCCAGCGCCACTTTGTCCACCACAAATCCTCCTTGTCCAGAGCCGGGATCGAACCCGGGCCGCTGCGGTGGAAAGCCAGCGACTAACCACTTGAGCTATTTGGTACTGTATGACGTTGAAATATCCATGTAAAATATTTTCGGAAAATTTCAGTACGGACCAAAAACGAAAGAACAGAAGAGGAAATATTGAAATGTGGTAAATTTGTCTTAAGACGTGCTTCAGTTCTAGCCGAGAATCGTTTTTCTGAAAGATTCAAGATAAATACACAATATACTCACGCATTAATCTGTACAGAGAATTCGGAGAATAATTTATTTCATGTTAACCCCTTCTATAATACGAAGTGTCGTAATAAAACTGTTTCTCAGAATTACGGAGATTCTAGACTCTGTCCAACATTTAGAACTGCAAAGATATCACGACGTTTCGGAAGCAGAAGAAAGGCGCGTGATTATGAGTGTCGGCCAGAAAGCACCACTCACATTCATCGGACCAGTTCATTGCGTAACTGCCCATGTTTCCGAAACACTGCGTTCTGTTGGGAATTACCGATGATGGACAAATACAATAAAATTTGTAATCCTAAATGGCAATGTAGTATCAATAGAACCCTTCAGAACTGATTCATCATCATTTGTAATCTGCTGGCATGTCGAGACAAACACTTCCGGTTTTCAGTAAATGTAACGCCGGTACCCACATGGTGATATAACAGTAAAAATGGGATATTGCTAGAAAACATATGAGTACAGGAAGGGTTAAATGTTTTAGGAATCCTCCTCGAAGACCACCGCCTTAAAGTACAGAGAGTTTCGCGCCTCGGTGAGCAAGAGAGCTATGCTGGCGGGAGCGTAAGCTCCTGGTAGAGCCACTCAAGACATAGGGATAATGGGATCGGGGCCAGACGAAGTTTAGTCCTTGTTCTTTCAGTTTGGGTGTTGGGCGTTGGGTTAACAACCTCATCCTGAGAAAAGTTACTGTTAGGAAAACATAAAGGAGGCCAAGATCTAAACATGGCTATAACGCCAGTAAAGAAGACAATGTTTTAATAATGCATATTTAAACCATGTAGATCCAATCATGACAGTTTACAATACGATTCAGTTGTACAACAGAAGTTTAAGGAAAATTAATATTCTAAAGTTAAAATCTGAGAAAGAATATCCTTGAATATCACAGTATAAGTCATTGCTCCATTATATGTTCAGTGCAACAATGTGAGATACAATGCGTGGTTTCCTTATCTCATTCATCTAACTGTTGTTGATTTTAGAATTCACTTCTATTCTGTAACAAGTTCCCACACATACGAGTACTGCGAATTAGTTTAGACAAAAGACAGCATAAATATTCTTACTCTCATTCATGTTTATTCCAATTATTAATTTTATTAATTAGAGTAACAGGAAAAAATGTTACTACTGCTTCAATTATTTTTAATAGAAATATTTAAATTGCTCAGGTTATAAAATGATTTGATGGCGGTGATGTGATATATATATAAAATCTAACCTTTTTTTAAAAATTTCTTCTTCATTATACAAGGTTTGGTCTATCTTCACTACCACTGGTTCAACTCAAACCAACAATGGAAGAAGAGTTAAATCACATTTTCCTAACATAACCACTTCGGATATATAATTCTTACAATAGAGACAGATCACTTGCCTTTACATGGAAACGTGATTCTAACATCACAAAGGAGAACAAAAGGACGTAGAAACATGTAGCCTAATCAATGAACTTGCTGGTGGAGTATTACGGCATAGAGCTGCAACAAAGGACCTGCCAGTATTGAGCTCTGTGGGTCTCTATCATTAATGCAGGAGCAGACCTGCATCCGTGTTAACAGCAGAAAAGGATTACGTGTATCACAGGTGGCTTATGTTCAGAAGTACGTAAGTTAACTAATTACTTTTATCACTGTCTCCACCCACCAGCGCGTTGTTACCAGTAACAGAGAACAAAAATTATTAATATTTCTTGTAACATATACGAAATAAGTTACTTCGTATTAAATCTGGTAAGCTGATAAGAAAAAATGACATTAAAAATTATCATTACGCACAATCTTGTGATGACCCACTTACTGTTTGTTTAATAATTTAAAATAATGATCTTAATTAAAAATCAATAAATTTTATTCACAAACAAAATATTATTTTCTCATATTAACGTCCACAACAAATTATAAAGACATTAAGAAAGAACAAGAAACTGTAATTCAGTACATAAAATTGTAACGCGATGCAAAATTTTTGTGTCAAAATCTGAAATCAGCGTATCAAATTTAATACAATACATTAACTTTGCCCTTTCATATTACTATAATCATGTCAACTAGCCTGGTTTTAGTATTAAATGAAACGCTTAAGAAATTAGAAGACAATATTAATGTTTCTTAATCGAAGCCAGTCCATCAAGTTGAAGAGCACTTCCCAATTCCGTCGTCAATATAAAGAACTGAACAACCTGTTTCGCTGTGGTTTTCTCGTTCTGCAACCACCGCATGCTAACGGCAGGTAGTTCACCTCTTCCATTTAAACTGAGGCACTTTCCAAAAGCTTTCTCAAATTAATTTAACGGTCACAATTCCGTCACTAAACTATTTTAAAGTAGGAAAGAAGATGCAACCATAGAAGGGAAGGTATCTGGTGTATATCACTGCGGCGTTCTTTTGTTTATGTGTATGATATAATACTCATCGTCTTGCAACTTAGTTTCACTGACACATCAGCTATTTAGAAGTATCTGGGAGTGCGCCAGATTTCTCTGAGGATAAAAAATGATATTTTTTGTCTTATCATCTACGAATATCTTCTTTTTTCTTCTTTTTCTTGTGTTTGGTGGGTTTGTCTCTGCCGTCTGTACGCCTAACTCTGGCGCACAGCCAGCAGAAAACCACAAACAAACATCACTTAAACAGGATTCTCCGAAACGCCCGGCGGAAGTCCTTATTGAAGATGGTGTATATGACGGGATTGAGGGCAGAGTTCATGTAACCAAGCCAGAACGCGGTGGCGAATGCTCTCTCTGGTACCTGGCACCAGGCGCACATTGGCGTCAGAATATATAGGAAAAAGAACGGAAGCCAACAAGCGATGAAGGAGCCCATGATCAATCCGAGAATCAAGGTCGCCCTCTTCTCCTTTTTCCTCGCTAATCTCCGTTTCTCTCTCTCCGGATCACGTGGTTTCTGAATTCTGGGAACGTTTTCCGTAATATTTCCGTCACTACCCGGATGGTTCCCGTGACCAGGAGAGGCTTTACCCATGTCAATTACTTCTCTTTTCGCTTTGGACGTTGTCCGACGTCCAAATATCGGCTTGCATAGCCTCAACTTCAGAGGTTTGACAACGGCACATCGACTGACCACTCCGGAGTCAGATGACGACGGATCGAACTCACTCACCATATCCGTGTCTATACCGACGCTTGGCGCCCTACACCGCGTCATAGCGGCCTGCTGCTGTGCTACGTCACCGTTCACGGACAAAGTAGATCCACGAAACTGACATGACTGAAGCGGGTGTTTCGTCACAGTCATCGTCGGCCCAGTGCCAAATACTTTTAATGTGTCTTTAGGCGCTTCTAAGTATCTACCCCCATTTTCGTTTTCTTGTCCAGTGGTTCCCTCCGCGTTGTCACTTGTACTGATATCCGACGCGAAGTCGCAAGTCACTATGGGTATGGACATGGGTTGTGGAGGCTGCGTCACTATTGTAGCTATCCCCCCGTGTTCAAGCGTCACTCCACCCTCCACCACTACGTTCCTCATGGGAGAGTTACTGTTCACGTCACCACTAGCACCTCCTACTTGCTTGCTACTGTCACCGCTACCTTGTGCTGGCACCGTGGTGAAGCTCGTGCACTTCTCTTCCGGTGGCTGTCTGGGACGCGGCTGCTTGCGGATACCTCTCCTTGCCCGTGCCTTCGCAGCGAAGTAGATCCGGATGTACACGAACACCATGATGCAACTCGGGATGTAGAAGGAACCAAGTGCCGAGTAGAGTACGTAGCCGATGTCCTCACTCAGCTGGAAACAGACAGAAGCGCAGTTCAGGATCATGTGATATAACCCCAAGAATAAAGCCATAATGTTACCCCCGGAAAGTCTCGCTTGGTGTGTCTGTGTATCCCCCTTGAATGGCTGAACCAACTTTTATGAAACTTGGTATGCATAGCTTACCAAATGTTAATAGAACCACAGCGGTAGCGCAGATGGTTCAAGCACTATGCTACAAGCCGGAATGTCACGGGTTCGAGTCACGATGTGGTGGATTTATTTAATTTACCTGATCCTTCCACCCGCACTATGGCCCTGGGGTCGACTTAACCTCTAACAGAAATGAGTACCAGGAATCTTCTTGAGGGGTAAAGGGCGGCCGGCACGTAAGGCTGACAACTTTACCGCCATCTTTGAGCCGATTGTCTAGATAATGTGGGACCCTCAACGTCTCACAACCCTATAGGCCTCCATGGTTTCTTACAGGGATAGCTTTACCTCTTTTTTAGTTACAACAGTTAAGATGGTTTTACTTTTTCGTTATTATAAAATGAATTACGGGTATAGGCACCCTTTATCTCGAGGTAAATATTCAAGAGACATGAAGTCCAGACATGCAATAACACAGACCGATGTGTACCATCATCTGTCCTGCACTGTCCTCAGCTCTGCTTGTAGGTTACTCGCTTGGGTCAGATCATCCGTTTCTCCAAAACGTAGGTGGACACTGACCTCTGTGAGAACCTCAAATCCAATATGGGCTCAGTCTGGGATGTTGGCATTCTGTGACCACTGCCGAATGTCATTCGCTACTCGACCGTGAAATGTTAACATTTTGATTATGCTGGCCTTTTGACGGAGACGTGTCACTGGAATTTTGTCTCACTGCTTTGGAAATGGAGTGCAGTCCTTAGAGCTTTGTGACAACTCGGTCAGAAGTAACGTGTTAATGTTAGGTTACTTTATCATGCAGAATGTAAGTTGCCATGGCTACACGAACCAAGTGACCCAGCAAAAACTTCACACTTGTACGCACAAAGCTCTACTCCAATGACAATTTTATTTATTTGTGTTTGCTTAACAACGTTTTTTGTAGCTCAGATTATACAGTGTCGAATGATAAGGCTGATTCATGAATGATGAATTAGGAAAGACGTGGAAAGAACAAAAGACCGCCTTTGTGGTATAGTGGCTAGAGTGCCTGGTTACAGATCCAGAGATCCCGGGTTCGATTCCTGGAGCTACCAGATTTTCTGAGAAGTAGTGGGTCTTGAACGGGGTCCACTCAGCCTCGTGAGGATAATTGAGGAGC